CGCCCACGGGTGCCCCGAAGACTCTCACGGGGAGAGACGCATGCCTTTGCCGTGTCCTCCTTGTCTTCCTTGGCTCGCTCTTCGTGAGCTGGGCGTGTCCTGACCTGTGAGGGTGAAGAGGGGACCGCGAGGCTGGGCAGCGCGTCTGTCACCAGAGCAGCAGAACAGCTCTGCGAGCCGGGGCCGGCACCGCGGGGAGAGGGGCCCCTGTCCGGGCAGGACGGGCAACCGCCCCCAGGGCCCGGGCCCGGCCGGCTGGCTGCGCGGTGCTTTCTTACCGTTGGCCTCATCTTGCCGTTGGAGTGGCCGGAGGCACGGGGTTGGGTGGGCACCGTCCGCCTCTCTGTGGGGACGAGGCGTCTAGGCTGAGAAAGGTTAGGTGACTCTGCCAAGACCGCACCCCGAGGCAGGCGCACGGGCACCCCCAGAGCCACTTCCTGGGGTGCGTGGATGCCCTGCACCAGGGAGGCACTGCCCAGGCACGGGGTCTCTGGAAAGGACTATCGGGAATGACATGCCTCCAGGACAGAAGCTGGTACAGAGGGGGTTTTCCGAGGAGGGTTTGGGGCCAGCGGTGCGGCCACCACGCCGATCCCAGCTTCCCGGAGGACGAGGCATCAGACTCGGCTGCACGTGGTCTGAGTGCCAGGCACAGGGCCTGGGGTCAGTCCTGGTGGGGGGGGGGTGAGTTCTCAGGAGGGAGGGGCCGAGGCAAGGCGGCCCCCGAGGCAGGGCGGTGGCACTGCCCACGGGGGACACGGCTCTGACCCCTTCTCCCCGCATCCTGAGTCCCAGCTTCCTTCACCTGCCGCATCCCTCTCCGCTGGCAGCGGGCTGGGGGCACTCTGAGCTCAGCCTCTGGGGACCTGGGGACCTGGGGCCTCACCCTAACAGTGGCTGACCTCCAAGGGGGTGATCTGGTCTTCTCCCCTCGGTTTCCTCATCTGCCCACGCAGATACATCAATCAGTAAATTTATTGGATGAATGAATTGGTTTCCTGGGACTCTCCAGAGGAAGAGGTCAAGTGGACCAAGCACTTAGCGTGGTGCCCAGCGCATAGGAAGGGCTCAGTAAAGGGTAGCGTCAGCCACCACCATCGTCACACAGGACTGAGCCGGAGTAGCAATCCCTAAAGCTGTGCTTGCCATGACTATGTTCATTTTAATTGGCACATGCAGATGAGATGCTGTAAATACCACTCGGGACAGTGCTCGGGCGAGCTCCCCTGCGCAGGACCCATCCCACACTGCGAGAACGCCTCGCCGTGACATTCAGGAGATGGCGGGGCCCAGGCTGGCCTCCCGTTCCAAGAAAGCCAGCTCACAGTCTGCAGACTGAGGCGGTGACACCACACAGCTCTTCCTTCTCACTTCTGATCTGGGCGGAGACAGGCCGGGCACCCTCTCAGAAACCCGCGGTGTGCAATTTCCTCCCCGGAACCCAAGCGGCCCCGTTCTCAGGCCGAGGTCGTGCAAAACAAATGCATCAAGAGGCCCCGGCGTTTCTGTGCGAGTTCTGCGAGAAACAGGTGTCGGCGAGCCCCGGGGGAGCCAGGGGGAGGGGCTGCTTGAAGGATGAGTGAACATGGATCGGGCACGAACTTGAGGGCAGAACTGCCTGCCCAGTGGCCCAGATGGTGAATTTGGCTCCTGGCGGGCAAATGCCAAGTTGTGGGCATCGGGTATCACCAGGGACGCAGAGGAGGAAGCCGGAGGTCGGCTGGACGGCGGGGTGGGGTGGGGGGTGGGGGGCTGTGACGCCAGGGAGGGCCAAGCTCCGGGTCAGGTTGTGTACCTTGCCCTGTATCTCATCAGGCCTCTTATCTTCTGCTCTGGGCACCCACGCCATCCTCCCCTGGTGCCACATGAACGTGACGTCAAACAGCCTATGGCAGGGCAGTGGGACTGTTCTCAGAGCACAGGCTGTGGAGACAGGCGTGAGTGCAGAGAGATGCCCGTGGTCTAGCACAGAAACTCACAAAGGGAGAACTAAAACCACGGGGGTTGGGGGGAAATACTGGCAATGGCTGGGGACCAAAATTAGCCGCCACCTGTTAGAGGTCACGGGGAAGGGGTTACTTGGGGCCATTTCCCTGGAAAACAAAGCGGACCGTGCTGTCCGAGCACCACGCACCACCTGGCCCTTCCAGGACGGATTTGTTAAAGCAACGGTACCTTGGGGGCGCCCGGAGAAACAAGCATTTCCGTCTTTGCTTCTTTTGAGTTCTGGTGTATGTTTACTAATAGAGTTGAGATGGTTTTTCTAAACGGCTTTTGAAGCATTTCTCAGGCTTCCGTTCTTCGAAATGGCATCTGTGTCCTTCTGATGGCATCAGCCTCTTAAACACTTGCTCCTGTGGCAACGTGCATGGTGTCGTGATTTTTTTGAAAAATCACTGAGCTCCGTGTTTCGGTACCCTGTAAATGTCCTGGTGCCCTACAAGTCATCTCACGACAGCGACCCTAAGAAAGTGTCACTTTGTGTAGTTTCTTCTTACTCAAAATGTTTAATGGGCCCTGGCTGGTGTAGCTCAGTGGATTGAGCGTGGGCTTTGAACCAAATCATCACAGGTTCGATTCCCAGTCAGGGCACATGCCTGGGTTGCAGGCCATGACCCCGAGCAACCGCACATTGATGTTTCTCTCTCTCTCTCTCTCTCTCTCTCTCTCTCTCTCCCTCCCTTCCCTCTCTAAAAATAAATAAATAATATATAAAAATTGTTTAATGGGGAATAACCATTTCTGAAACGCCCATTTTAATTAAAGTTTACAACCCAAACTGGGTTGAAGGAAGGCATTCGACCAGTACTTACTGAGCACGCACCCTCTGCTCAGTGCCACACACCAGGCATCAGCGGCTGCGGACCCGCCCCTACCGTGTGGAGGCTCACGGCCGCGTGAAATGGGCCGTTGGAGGACTGACGGAGTCTGGAGGCCTCCGTGTGGCGCCCAGTCCAACGTCTCACGGCTCCGGATGGGAAGATGGCCTGGGAGGCTCACCGGGCTCCCCTCTGGCCTGGGGGTGGCCCGGTCTGAGCGGGATGCGGAGGCCGCTCGGGCACGAAGAAGAAGGTCTCACTGTCTCGCGGTCGACCTATTGCCGGCAGCCCGAAATAGCCAGAGCTCAAAGCCACCGAGCACCCGCTCCGCGCTGGGGGAACGGATAAGCACGTCCCGTCCATCACTGGTTCGTCCTCCCAGCGACCGCCCCGATCCCATTTCACAGGTGGGGACACTGAGGCCCGAGGCTCCGGCACCATCACGGGGCCCTGCGCATCGGAGTCAGGGTTTGAAACTGGACCGTTCCGGCCCCAGAGCGAAGCCCCAGCTGTTCCTTAGCTCTGGTGCCTGAGACCCGTCTCCGTGCGCACCGCAGAGAACCTGTTGGAGGTTCCCTTGCTTCTCACCGCGCCCCTTTTCCCAAGGGCTCGGCCACCGACGGCTTCAGAGGACTCGCGCCTTGGGGGCCTGGTGGGCTCCCAAGTGGAGCTCCGCCCAGTTATCGGCAGAGGGGCGGCCAAGACCCTGAACAGCTTCACTGCGAAGGTGGGACAGGCACCTCTAAATCTACCCCCCAGGGAGAGACGGACACTCCAACCAAAACACCCGAGACGGTGGAGGCCCCCGCCCCTCCGCTGTGTGGAGACCACCTGGGACCGCCCCCCACTCAGCAAAGGAGGCCCAGAGAACAGAGCGCAGAAACCATCCACAGAGCAGCTCTCCGGACGTTTGCTTGTATAAATAATTTATTTCTGTTCACAGCATCATATATGCATATAAAAGGGAGCAGGGACCGGAGGGGAGGGTGGTCCGGACAGCACTGTAGCAGGAGGAACGGAAACAAACCAGGAGACGTTGTCCCAACACCACGACGGAGAACGGGTGAGGAGAATCGTCCCGCAGCAAAGCTGGGCCCCCTCTGTCTGTCCGAAAACATTCCAAAACGCCTGTGGGGGAGGCCCGCTTCGCTCGGGGGACACCCACCCCCCCCACGCTCCCCGGAGCAGGAGACATCGGAAATCACCGACCACTGCGTCAGAGGGGACCCCCGGCGGACCACTGCAAGGCGGCATTGGGGTCCCGCCTTCCTGATTGGTCCGAGATGAAACGGGCTGTTAAGTGGGCCAAACCTCACAGAAATCAACTGAGACTCCTAACTATGCGTGAAGACACCACAGGGTTTTACTCTACGAGACAGTTACTGACAGCTGACTGCACCCTTTCAGTACTGACAATGCAAAAAAACCAGGGGCATTTTGCATCAGGTGTGAAGAACGGCAGGATTCGAACACTGGTCTTGACCTCAAGAACTGTGAGCACGGGAAGGTGACCGTATTGGGCATCTGCAACGTCACAAAATAAATATATTATTCTCTCAATAGTGTGGAACTACCAAAATGTCAAAAGTGCTTAAGAAATCATTGCATGTGAAGAAAATAAAGAAGATGGATTTTTTTTTTTTAATAATTCTATACAGAGTCTTCAGGGGATGGGACCAGCCCATTTAGGAATCAGTGGATATGCGGTCGCTATGTAAGCTGACACCTTGCGGGCTTTTCCACACTCTTCGCTCTAGTTTCCCTACTGAGTCTCTACAAAAAGACCGCCGTCGGAGGGGTCCCACACACACCAACGAAAGGGAAAGGGAGCCGGGCTGCCAGGCCCTTATTTTAAAGTATCTCCTGTGACACCTGGGTTTCAAGCAGGAAGCCAGGAATTCTACCTCTGGTTTGCAAATGAACTTTCCGAGTGAGGCAGACAACGGCCATGAATTTGTCATCGGACTAACTCACATGCTTAAAAGCACGATCATGCCCGATTTCTACAGGCCTCCTTCCTGAATTAATTTATAACCGAGGGGGTGGGGCGGGGGGGGGGGGACATAACTCCACCGATAACCATGGATTCCAAGAGGAAATGAAACTCCAACCATGAGCTCGCCTTTCCCTTGCGATACTGTGTTTCGGGGTCAATGACAGCTTCTGTAAAACCAAGACTCAGTCCTGATTATAGAAGATTTATTTAAGTTACATTATTAAAAATATCTATTCTCTCCCTCTCCCTTCCAAAGTCTCTTTCAAGTACACGGTCACAGTGCCCGAGGACAGGCGACCGTGACGTCACGTGCTTGCTTTCTGGCGCAAGCCCTCGCCGCGGCCTGCCTTTGCCCCACAGGCCAGTCCCCACGAGGACGGGTCAGGAAGGACCTCCCTCATCCTGGGCCTTCCCCTTCGCTTCCCAATCCACGCGACAAGGTCAGCTTTGACACCAAGGTGGGGTTTTGTTTTTTGGGGGTGCATGGCGTGAAATGCTCTGATGAGATAATTTGTAATGAAATACTCAAACCAGGCAGGCCACAATGAACCCGGTTAGGGACTGGAACATGTCACCACTGGCAGCGCTGAGAGGATGTAACAGGGTAGGGCAAAGTCTTTTTTTTTCCCCTAGGTGAATATTTCTAAGGTAAGTATTCATTTGTGGAAGTTTTTTTTTTCTTTTTTCCAAACATGTCTGAAAACCAAAACCCATCATCAAGCGGTTAGCATCATGAGACATCCCTTGTAAAAAAACAAAACAAAAAAAAATCCATCTTGCAATTCAGCACGCATCTGCAGCTGGGACTCTGACACCAACCCATCGGCAGGCTGTGAGAATTTCAGATTCCACACGTCCAGGCCGAGATATTTATGCCAAGGACACAGTACAGAGGGGGTCCCCACGCCCCCCTCCCACCACCCACCCGGCATTTGCACCCAGGGCCTTACCCTTTGAACACCTTTAGCTATCCTGCAGACAGGGAACGCATCATGTGCCACCACCTCCAACAGTTTTTGCTTTTTTAATTTTTATTGGTCTCTTTGTGTGACAATGACCTACACATGGACGGGGTCCAAGCCATCTGGAGGATGCCTGACTCCAGGCTGAAAAGCGGTTCTCCACAAAAACCGGTTCCATAGCCGCCGCCACACATCGCCGGGGAAGGTGCGTCTTCGTGGCCATTCCCCGGCCAGGGCCAGCGCAGCGCCCCACGCCCTGGGGCTGAGTATTGTCCCCGGCGGTCCTCCCGGAGCCCCAAACACCACCTCGTCTGGGCCCAGAGCAGACCGAATGAGATTCCACCAGGGGCCGGCCCTGTGACACAAAATAACCCAGCTTCCACTGCCCGTGAATGCAAGGAGGAGCTGTTCCCCCAGCTCCTCCCAGCGCCAACAGGCCCTCCCGATGAGGGCTCCAGGGGCTCTGGGACTTGCATACCTCAGGTAACTCGCAGGTGAGGGCGGGGCAGCCTGAACTTCTGGCCTGCTGGAGTAGGAAGAAATTGCTTTTGTCTCTGACATCTGAGCCTTCCACTGGGGCGGGGAGGGCAGACCGCAGCCCCTGCACGTCCACTCCCCAGGCCGGCCTCCCACCCGCTTAGGGAGCTCTGGCGCTGCTCAGACAAAAGGTCCCCTGGGCTTGGGGTGGGAGCAGGTCGAGGGCAGGCTGGCAAATCAGCCCACACGCCCGGGGTTAAGTCACCAGTCCTGCATCTGGGCGCAGAGATTCAGTTTTAAAAATTGGAAGCATCGCTTTGGTTCGCTGTCTTTGTTCGCGGGCGCGGGTTCTCGCACATCCATTCATTCCTGCCCGACTCACGCGCGCACTCCCCCCTGGCGGCGCCGGAACGCTGCCGGGCGCATTACCGCTTCTTCTTCTGCTTGAGGGACTTCCTGCGTTTCAGGATCATCTCATAGAGCTTGTCCATGCCCTCGGTGAGGCCCTCGCCGATGATGGCGCACGCCGGCTGGACGTGGTAGGTGGTGGCCGGGATGAGCTCGTGCAGCGCCAGCTGCTTCTCGATCTCGGCCACCGGCAGCGACTTGGGCAGGTCCTGCTTGTTGGCGATGACCAGCAGCGGCGTGCCCTGGTTCTCGGCGAATTTGGTCACCTTGTGCAGCTCCGTCTTGGCCTCCTCCAGCCGGTCCACGTCCACCGAGTCCACCACGTAGATGATGCCGTCCGTGCAGCGGCTGTAGGATTTCCACAGCGGCCGCAGCTTCTCCTGGCCGCCCACGTCCCAGAAGTGGCAGCTGATGCCCTTGGCCGTGCCGTTGCTCAGCTTGATCTTCTCCGTGTTGAAGCCGATGGTGGGCACCGTGTTCACGAACTCGTTGAACTTGAGCCGGTACAGCACCGTGGTCTTGCCGGCCGAGTCCAAGCCCAGCATGACGATGTGCAGGGACTGGAAGGCCGAGATGTTGGAGGAGATGTTGCCCATGGCTCCTCGCTGCGGCGCGGGCCACTGCGGCTGCAGCGGGAGGGCGCCGCCCCCCGAGCGGTGACGGGCCCGCCGCGGCCGGGCGCACCTGGGCCCCGCCTGCCGCCCTCCGCCGCGACCTGCTTGGCCTCCGCGCCCCCCGGGCGCACGGGTCCGCGCGCTCAGACGCCGCAGCCCCCAAGCCCGTGCCGGCCCGGCATCGCGTCCTCTCCGCAGGCTTTTGTCTCCTGTGAAGCCGCCTCCGCTGCCGCGACGCGGGATGCTGGCGCCTGGAATCTTCCTCTGGCTCCGGCTCGCTCTGCGGGTCCCCGGGCCGCGCCCCCGAGCTCCGGCCGCTGCCCCGGCTCCCCCGGCTCCCCCGGCTCCCGCGGCCGGCAACGTGGTGCTCCGGCGCTCGCCTCTGCCCTGGGCCGCGCTGCGGGGCCGCTCCCGCTCCCGGGGCGCGCCTCGGAGGCGCAGGCGGGGGCGCGGGCTTCCCCGGGTGTCTCTGCTGCTTCTGTCCCCGCAGTCCCTGCGCTGCCGCCGCCGCCGCCGCCGCTTCTAGCCGGCCGCGGCCAGAAGGCGCCCAGCTCCGCCCCTCGCGGCCCCGCCCAGGCCCCGCCCCTCCCCGCCCCGGCCCCGCCCACGCCGCGCCCCGGGTCGGGTGTGGACGTCTCCCTCCGGCCCGCCGTTTTCGCGCCCTTCCGAGCGCGGGGAATCGCCCGCGGGGTCCCCCTCCCGGGCCGCGCCCGGACAATGGGCCTGGGAGCCGGCTCTTCCTCCCAGACCGGCTGACTCATCTTATAAAAATAGCTCCCGGCTCCCGGAACTCTCCACCCGCCCAGCCCCGGCCGGCCGAGGAGGACTGCCCCGCGGGGCTGCAGCAGCGCAGCCGGCCTCGGGGAGCAGGGCTGGGGGCTCCAGCTGTGCAGGCCAGGGCGCGGCCCGGTATCCGGAGCCAGGCGGCCGACAGCAGCGTCGGCCCAGGGGCTGTGGAGGGCCCGAGGGTGGGGCGAGGGTGCCCGCTGAGGAGTGAGGGCGGTGAGGTCAGGTCCCCAGACCCCGAGGAGAGGGCAAAGGAGGGCGCTGGCTTCAGCGAACCGCCAGCCTGCGCCCCTGTACCCAGCCGTGCCCTGGGCTCTGGCCCTTAATGGTTCCCTGGCTCGCTTTCCCGCCGGAGTTCCAGGGGGCTGGCTCCACCAGGCCGCCGACGCACTGGGGGCCCAGGTTTGTGCCCAGGGTGCCCTGGAGGCCCAGCTTCCCCTGCCTGCCGGCAGCGATGGAAGCACAGACCCAGCGTTTGTCATCCAGGCAGTGAAGGGGCTGGAGTGGCGGCCGGGGGTGGGGTGTGAGGATAAGGATAATTTATTTCCAGATAACTCAGACAGCTGACCATTCCCAGATAGCCCCTCTGGCTGCCTTTTTTTTTTTTTTTTTTTGCTCCCACCAACTTTGCTAACATTCCAGGTCAAACAGCGTCTCAGGAGAGCACCTTGTGTTGCCCCACTTAGAGAACCAAGAACTGCCCGCCCGTGGGGGAACCGTCCTGCTGCAGCTGGGGGTCTGGCTGCACCTGGGCGCTGAAGCCAAGTGTGTCCATGGTTCGGAGTCAGTGGCACCAGAAGTTACAGACACCCACGAACGACCCTGGTGTCCGTCTCCTCTCACTCCAGTGGTTTTATTCCAGTTTGTAAATACGTAACAGACATGCATTCTCTCTGCGGGCAGAGGCAACCGTGCCTGGCAGAGAACACGCAGAGACCTGCTCTGGAGGAGAGGCGGGGTGGGGGCGGGGACCGCACTGTCCGACATGTCCAGCTCCCCCTTGTGAGCAGGGAAGACGCACATGGGGGCGAGGGGGATAGACATGAAAATGATAATCATTTAGGAACCAGCCCCCAATCTTACAGGCATGCTTTCCTTCTCCACCTTCCTCTCGTGAGCTGGTATCCTGTCACGGTACCACGGACGATGCCCTTGGTACTGAAACACGTGAGAAGACAGTGTCTGTAGAAAGCAGGATGAGCCACCCTGTCTCTGGAATTCCTGTGGTGACAGCAGCCACTGCAGTCAGTCATCTGCCCTCCAGAGGGGGCCCGGGGGCTGGAAATGAATGGCCTTGTGGGTTACTCTGTCCAGCCCTCCAGGGGAGGGGACTGCAGCCCAGGCCCGTTTCACTGTGGCAAGGCGGAAGCAAGCTGCAGACAGCCCGCCCCGTGCCCAGGGGTGCCGGTGCCCAGCTGAGGGGCTGCCCCCTCTCCCTCCACCCATACACTCTTTTAACTCAGTGGGGAAGGAAGTTGCAAGCAACCCGAAATCAGTTGCAAACGACAGAAATTCAACTCAAATTGAGTTGGGCCACAATGAAAATATATTCAGCGGCAAAACTGAACGGTTCAAGCATGATTCAGGTGTGGCTAGATCCAGGAGCTCAAAAGAAGTCTTTATACCAGGCATCTCTTCGGTTCTTCTCTGTTTCCCTCTGTCCTGATTCATTTTCCTGCAGGCATCCCTGGACTCCGATCCTCAGTTTACATCCTAGAGGGGAAAAGCTGCATCTCTTTCCCATCAACTGCGACAAAAGCCTGCAGGACACCTCCCTCTGGCCTTCTGGGTCCACCCCTGCACCAAGCGTTACTGTCCAGCCAGGGGGAGCGCCTCACAGGTGTGGCCCAGTGGCTCAAGCCAGGGAGGGGTGGCCCCCAAAGAAGAATCTGGCCTCCGTTCCCACAGGGCAAATACATGGTAGTAGGCAAGCAGGAAGGAGCGGCATTGGCATAATTTCTAATGAGGCCACTTCGGTTATTGGGACTCCTGGGAAGACAGAATGTTGTGTTTTTTTGGCGTGATTTCCTTGGCTTTCTTCAAGGCCCGCCCCACAGGTAGCTGCCTTCTCGTGAGACGGTTTCTTCTCCCTCCTTCCTCTTTGCCACGGGCAGGGCCTTGGCTAGGGGCCAGCCCCAGATGGGGACTTTGATTAGTGACCTGGATCCTGGACACTTGGAAAGGCACCGGCCGGACTGGAACCTCTGGATCTGGCTCCCGCCAGTGACCTTGGCACGGGACCCCGCTCCCTCCCTTGCCATCTCTCACCGATCAGGTCTCGCTCTTATTTTGAGGACAGCAGGAGGGAAATGCGTTTAGTAAAAAAAAACACCCGATGTGTTTTCTCGGGGATGCACTAATTACTGCCGACAGAGGCCCCCGCCTGTGCTCCCCCCACGGTGGGGTTTAGCCATCAAGGACACTCTCCGGTTCCTCGGAAAAAAAGCGGAGCGCTAGACACTAATAGAGCCTTGCAGATCACAGCCATTAAATGGCAACTGTCTGTAATTGAATGGCAGCCGCTCTGCGTTCCAATTTCACTCCCCGGGTGATACGTTGATTCTACAGTTGATGATTTAACTTCTTCCCCGCAATGGCCTCGCTGGGCTCAGCCGGGCCAGCTTTCAGTGCGAATCGCAACTGAGAAACGCAGGAGCCCTGAAAAGGAGAACAATGTTCACCGCCGCGCGTCAGGAACGCCAGGCTCACTCAGAACCCGGTTCTCCCTGGACGTAGGTAGCACCACGGCCGGGGCTGTGCCACCGGGTTGGGTGGGCGCCCCCCACCATGTCCTAGCCATGGGGCAGTACCCCGCTCACTGTTTCTCAAGGGACCCCTCTCTAACACGTGTGGAACACACGTGGTGGCTGTGGAGGATAGATGACGTAACACATGTAAAGTGTCTGGCACAGTGCCTGGCACACGGTAAGTGCTCAGTACATGTTGGCTTTGATAAGCACAGGGAAACCACTTTTTTAAAAAACTTTTTATTTTATGTTTTGAATACTTTATTTTTAAAGACTGGAAGGGAGGGAGAAAGAGAGAGAGAGAGAAACATTAATGTGCAGTTGCCTCTCATGTGGCCCCCACTAGCGACCTGCCCTACAACCCAGGCATGTGCCCTGACTGGGAATCGAACCTGCGACACTTTGTTTCGCAGCCCGCGCTCAATCCACTGAGCTACACCAGCCAGGGCTTGGAAACCACTTTTCTGATGCAGCACGCAGCCACCCCAGCGGCGATGTCCCGCCCCCGCCCCCGGCAGCCGCCCGAGTTCTGCTGAGTAGAGAACCTTGGCTGCCCGCGCCCCTCGCTTCGTTTTAATTAATCAGATCGGACGTTTCTCGGAGAGGAAGGTGCACCCGCGTCTCGCCTGAGACAATGTCACTTCCAGCAGCAGCAGCAGCCGGCGCTTCAGGTCCCTCCCTCCCTTCTCTCCGGCGTCGGGATGACTTCACCCCCAGAAAGGGACTCCGTTAGCTCCAGGTAGACAGGAGGCAACCACTTGGCCGTGACTTGGAAACTGGATCCTAAAGTATCATTCTTTTTTTTTCCTTTCAGAGCTCAGACAGAAAGTGCGCTGCCTACTACGGTGACTTTGTATTGGTTCTAGTGACTAGAGCAATGCGTGCCGTCGTTCTGCTCTGTGCTTTAGTTAGGCGAAGGTGAACACCCCGTCCGTACCTGAGTGTGTGTGTAGGGGGGGGGGTCAAGTGCGTGCCCACGAGCATGCCTATAAGGTGCGAGACTATTGGCGCGTTCTGATTGGCCGCCTGGGTTCCGGCTCGCAGCCCCTGTGCTCGGCTGTGGTGATGCAGGAGTGCCCTCTACTGGGCGTCTTGTGTAACAGGCGAAGGCCTCCGCGGGGGTGAATTCGCCCAGAGCCTCGTAGTGAATGTTCAGTGCACCGTTGGGACAAGTGCACGGGCGAGTGGCTCCCGGGCTGCTTCTGAGTTCTCGGGGAGCCGCGCTCGCCAAGCCGAGAACGTGCTCCTGTCGGGGCTCAGGGCGTGGGGGTGTGGACCCTCCGACGCAGGCTGGGTCTGGTCTGCGAGCCCGGGCGGACCCGGAGGGGTGGCTCAGACCCGGGAGAGGGAACCAGAAGGCCTGGCCGAGCGTGAAGGGGTCGACCAGGAAGTCCCTCCGGAGAACCGCAGACTGGCTGGGGGCGAGAGGGACTCGGCGCCCAGGAAACCCAGCTGAGATCAGAGACCCAGGGAGAGATCGGGTCCTGCGCCCCATTGGACGGGCGGGCCGGAGCGCCAGCCATCCACGCAGGCAGGGCCGCGAGTGGGGAAGACAGCAGGCCGACCGGACGGAGAGCAGGAAGCCTGAGGCAGCGGGAGCCAGCGGTCCCGGACTGGGATTCTGCGGCTGGTGCGAGCCTGTCCTGAAGGAGGACCCCCCAACCCGGCCAGAAGTCTTGGCGCGTGGAAGACCGAAAGGTCTCCATCACGGGAGAGTCTCTGCATTCCGGGTGAAACGCCAGCCCCAAGCTGCCCCGTGGGGGGAGGGGCTGAGAGACAGACGCTGCATCGCAGGGCAGTTTCGGGGGGCAGAGGGGGCGGGGCCAGTAGGTCTTCCCGGTGACAGATCTGAATCCGTGCTGCTGGTGGCCTTTCGCTTTATTCGAGTGTCCCAACGGCTGGAAATAAGAAGGCCCTGCTACTCGTGTCCATTTGAGTTTATGAAACTTCAAAGAGAAACAAAACAAATCAAAACAAAAAATCCCAA